GGGAAAAAGAACGAAGCTGCTTCTCAGCAGCGCCAGGAAGAGCTCCTGGGGTTCAAACGGGGACTTGGTCCAGTCTGGAGGGGGGAAACGGGAGCATCCCCCGTTGCCATGGGGATGGGCGAGCAGCCCTCCCGCGGCCACAGAGACATTCATCACTCAGAAAAAAAAACAGCAGACATGGTCCAGTGTTTGGTTTTTATTGAGACATGATTTTCCTCTTTTCATATAACTTATCTAATTAAAATATTCATCTTAGTTACCACAAAAAAAGGAACATAGAAAATTGTATGTACACAGTCGGGGACCAAAATACAAATGCAAGTCAAAGTCACTTCCCCTCCTGCCCACATCACTCATCTGGTGAAGGGGGAAGAGGCAGCTCTGCTCAGTTCCTTCGTGTGTAGTGTAGCACAGAAAAATTGCACAAGTGTCACACCCCAAGCACCCAGACTGGGAATGGAGCACGCTCTTTCACCCTAGGCTTTGCTCAGTTTGTGTCTCATGGAAGAGGGCAGGCGCCTGACCCTTCCAGCCGTACCAAGTGTCTGAGGAAAAGGCTGGTGTCAGTCCTCGGAGCAGGGGGACATGCTCAGCACAGAGCGCAGTGGATCCAGGCAGTGTCACATCCCATTCTCTGTACCCCTGCAACCCAGCTAAGCTAAAACACAGACACAGCTGGCAAAGCCTAGAGCAAAGAGGCTGCTCTGAGCGGGAGGGTACATCACCCCAGAACAGCAACGCTCTGCGCATTGTATGTAGCCGTAGTACTAATTAAAGTGGCAGTTTTGCAGTGCCCAAGCTTGTTCTTGGGCCTCACCCAGATCCTTTCCTCAAGGCTCCATTTGGGACCTGAAGACGATGCCAGACTCCCCTTCCCTCTGCCCCTACCCCAGGTACAGAGGAGAAATGAACGGTAGCACAACAGTCAGCAGAAGATAATATATTGTTATCTAATTAAAAATACAGCAAAAACGCAAGAGTAAGGAGCCATTAGTTTACAGCACAACACACACTGAAATGCTGCACGGTAACATTAAAGCATCTGGGACCGTAACGAACTTAGAGCACATGAGAGTTTGAGAACATTTTTCCAAGACCTTCAAACTAAGAAAAGAACAAGATCAAATAAATGAGAAATGTGTTCAGAATGGTTTAAAATTTAAAAACAAAGACAAGAAAAGAAAGAAACCAACAGAAACCAGAAGCATACAGGGATATTTCTAGAGCCCTCCAAGGAGGGCTCTTCACAGCAAGGTTTCCCCCGGGCAGCGCTCACAGACAACTCCACCGGTTCGGGATTTGGCAGCCGCAGAAAGCCAGCAGCAGAGCTTTGCGAGAGCTGCCACCAACAGCATCCACTGCCGGCCCTTTTTCCACCTAGATAGCACAGTCGTAGGTCAGCAAATATGGCTTGGAACGGGAGAATCTCTCCCCTTTCTGATCCGGAGCTTGGCGCCAGAGAGGCCATCTCCCTCGCCACATGACCTGGGTCTAACCAGCTCCACCCTCCGCTCACACCACCTCTGGGTAAGTTCGCTTTGGAGGCAGACGTAACGCTCACCACAGCAAGGTTTCGCGTGCACTGGCAAGCAGCTAGCTGTGTGTGCCTCCCTGCTGCAGCCCCCCGAGAGCGCACACCTCACACAGCTCTGGGAGCTGTGCTCCAGGGCACCTCCGCACACCTCCACCAACCCCAGCGCCTGGCTCACATCGCACACCCCTTCCTTCCAGAGCTCCAGCTCCTCAGACACCACGTACAACCAAGGTTTTCAGACTCCTATGTAGTATGCACACATTAAAACCAAACCACGTTTCATTATTCACTTCCCAGTCCCTCGTTACAGGTTCAAAGACTAAAATCCTTGCTTTTGCCAAAGAGGAAAACATACAGGGAAAAGACAGGATTTAAGCACCAGCTATCAAACTGGAAATAAATCCTTCCCAATTCCACACAAAAAACAAGATAAAAGCATTTTTATTTCCACTAGAAGAGGCAAACCAATGCCTCCACTGATATTTAAAAACTATTTTTAATTTAAAGTCCCCTCTTGCTCTCAAAAAAAGTTAAAATCTGACTTGGTGCCCAGTAAAGTTTCTCCCCAAACCCCTCAGTTTTATTCCCAGTAGCCAACAGAAGACAACAGCAGCAGAGAAAGTCCCCGACAGCTCTTGGCATCCCTGCACAACAACATAAGCATCTGTACAAGATCTACAGTAAGAGCAGAGAGAAGGTTAAGAGCTAAGGTTTTATTAACATACACAAGTGGAGAGCAAAGCCTCAGGACTTGATGCTCTTGCCAAAGGATCCATGAGCAGATGGGCCAGTCCCACTTGTCCCACAGAGTCCAGGTGGGACACTGGGCCCAGCAGGTACCAGATCACGAGGAAAGACTTGAGTGAAACCCAGCGTCCACTCAGACAGATGGATTCCTGCCAGCTCGAGTCAGAGGCTGGCCCTTGTACTGGATTGGGAGGGGGGAGACTGGGGAGCGACATAAATAATACCAGCGGGATAGAGGGGCAAAATATTAATTAAAACCATTTTATAATTTATTAAGAGGTTAAATAGTAAATAGTCTCTGGATCTTCCGCTCTCAGCAGGTGCCAAGACTTCACATTTTCTTGCATCGGGAGATTCTATACACCCTTCTTTTGATGGATGACAAAGCCAGAAACAGGATATTAAAAGGGCAGGGGGTAAAAGAGGGGCTTGACACTGAGAAAGCGACCAGAATAAAAGATAAAATACTGTGCTGTCATCTTGTGCAGACTGAAACTTCTTCCAGCAGCCTCCAAAGAGGTTAAAAAAAAAAAAAAAAAAGAAGGGCTGTTTGGGTACCTTCTCCCCTTCAGTGCCACTCCCCCACAAAAGGAAAAAGTCCCAGATCTGCACTGCAAACTTATCTTCGAGAGAATCTGTTTTTGAAAGCTTTGATAGTCTTTGCCATCATGGGTGCAATTTCTGCAACAGAGAAAGGGGAAAACAAACCAATCAAACAAAACCCCCCACTCATTAAAGCAGCAGTCACAGACCAGGAGAGCCGAGAGCAACTCAGAGCTGCAGCCCTGGCAAAGCAGACACGAGGCAGGCGCGCGTGCTCTCCGATCACGGCCCACCGTGTTTTTGGGTCACGGGCTGAGGAGAGGCCCGCTCTGTCTGCACTGCCACACCACAGATCTCTCGTTAGACTACCTCTCCCTGCTTCCTTCCCAAGGGAGCTGCACCGTAACTGCAGTGCTCCAAGCAGCTGGACAGATCCAGAAGGACAGCAGGAGGGGAAAAGGCAGGGTTTCTGTCTCTAGTACTGTTAGGACAGGCTGATACAGTCAGCACGGAGCAGGCAGGTGAATCGGATGTTTCCCTATGCTTTTTCTTGTGTGAGAAGTTTGAACAGCCTTTGCCCTCTCCTTAGGGAGGGGAGAGAGGCCTCCAACATCGACCCTCCGGCACAGGCTGGATTTCTCTCACAGCAGAAGCAACAGATCTGTGTATTAGCAAAGGAGGAGCTCACAATGTTCTGCGGTTTGTACTTACTCTTCACTGGTGGTTTCCTGGGGTCGTAGGAGGAGAAGGTGCTACCTGAAGATGGGGCAGAATGGGCACTGCTGGTGCTGGGCCCATTGTAGGACTGCTCCTCACTCACAAGAGTGTGGCTTTTGCTAGCTGTGTACAGGACTGGTTTTATTCTGAAACAGAGACGGGACAGAGATTTCAGTAACAGCATCGCTGTGGTTTGATGCAATTCTTCAGACACAGCAGCATGGCTGATACCAGATGGAACCAGCAGTGGCCAGGGTCTCTGTACTTCCCAGCAAGAAAGAGGCTACTACAGTTACGAGTTTCACTGCAAAAGGACCTCCCAGACACACAGCAATGCATGGGACAGAGCTTCAGGGGGAAGCTGGCCGGAGCCCACAGGGTAAGAGGCCTGAACAGCACGTGTTACTGAGAAACACTCACTTGGTCTTCTCTGGCAGAAGGGGTCCTCCAGTTCCAAACTTCTCTTGTCTCCTTCGTACGTCCCGAGGGGGCTTTGCTGCGGAGTTCACAAATGCCATTTTGGCCACTCTCCCTGTAGGAGGCCAGAGGGAAACATTGCTTAGATCCAACTTACTATAAAAGGAGACTCCTCAGTGCTTGTCTTATTATGGCAAGCTCCAACCGCCTCTCCCCAGTCCATCCGTTCCCTAAGGTCTGAACCTCTTGCAAGTCGCAACATGGGCTGCGAGAAATCAGACTGATCGGTTTTAGGAATGCTTCACCCACCCTGCCCTTCTTCAACCCCGGCACAGAGAAGCTGCGCTAGAACAGAAGGTGTGGCCCTGCACGTTCTTGCTGGAAAATACCGCTCTGTCTAGGCTGCATCAACACCACTACGGATGAAATCGAGAGCCTGCTATGCCATTAAGCAAAGGTCGCCACACAAAGAACAGAGAGCTAAACAACTCCTAAACTGGACTAGATTTAAACCAGTCATTCCAAAAGACCTTCCCCACATAAAGATATCCCTTTGGCAGCATTCCCAGACTCCTCTCTCATCATTCAGCTCTACCTTTGGGTTTGTTGGCATGAGCCGAGCCGATGTTCCGTGCTAACATGAGCAGCCGCTGCTCTCGTGCGTCGTGAAGCCGAAGGTACATCTCCCGCCAGGACTCGAACTCTTCTGGCTTCTCGTTCTTGAAGTCTCGGAGACAGTGATTGTGCCACAGTTGATCCGTATCCTCAATGAGAACCTGAAGCAAACCCACATGAAAGCTGGGATCCCTCCTGACACCTTCACTCCCCTCTCCCTCAGCACCAGTGTCACTGGAATACCACAGAGGACAAGACAGCTTTGGGGCCAGCTTGCAGCAAGAGATGGGCAGTTGGCAAATCCAGAAACTCGGGACTAGCACAAGCAACCTCTTGTTGTAAAAAGCATTGTTCTTTACTATTCTGCTATGGCAGATGAGGACAGAACATCCCATCACCATGCCTTCCCCAGGCCCAGGCACTCACATGATTACACTCCTCAATGCGATACAGCTGCTCCGCAGTGCACCTCTCCAATACCGGCTCCAGCACTGAGAAAGGGACACCACCCACTTCATAGATTGCTAGAAAGAAGCAAGATGCACAGAGTATTTATTCTGCTCCTTCCTTGCCCAGGAAAGGGCTTGGTACCCTGAAATCCAGTGGGGGGGGGGAAAAAAAGTGCAGTGCTGCATGCCACTACACAATACGAGAGGAAGGAGAAAGGAACTGTAGGTGCGATAGCTCTAGTGGGTCCTCAGGCCCCAATATCTCCAAATGTTTGTGCAAGGCTCTGTTCACCACTATTGCCAGTGCTTTAGCACTCCCTGAAAGCATGCTGGGTGCCCCAGTGAGATCCGACCCACGTTAGCTAGCTTGCCTTGTGACAAGGGCCAACTGCTTCACATCCCAGCCAGACGCTGCAGGGACAGGTAGAAACAAGATACCGAGTTCAGTCTACCGGCATGGCAACGCGACTTTAAGTGAGATGAAGAGAGGTACTTACAGTCAACGTTCTTACTGAGGACTCTGATACATTGCTGATAGAGAGACATCATCTTAGGGAGGTAGGCAGTTTTAGAGCCTGAATACACCTGCATCTTAGAATTCAACCGGCGGCCTATAAAGCCTGCTTCGCTGTCTTCAACTGGCGAGGACACTGCTGTAAAGGGAAAGACTTGGGAGTAAGAAGGGAACAGAGAGAAGAGCCCAGCCTGATGAACAGTGCAGAAGACACAAATCAGAGTCACCCAGACACAACTAAAGGGCCAAGTCTTCTCTAAGAGACCCGCAACCTAGTTCAGGAAGGGCAAGTCCAAAGCCTCAGCTTTGGTCAGCAAAGGATCTTCCCCTCTTCCTCATTTCTGCTGGAGGATGTGCAAAGAAGCCACTTTTTTTCTGAACCCTGGGCATCAGAGCCCACAGAAAGACTTGAACCCAACCAGCATCCACTCCCTCCCACAAACAGTGTCTGGAGCCTGTTTTAGACCTATTTTCCTGTCCAACATACCTTTCCTTTTTGGCTGGGAGCAGGGAATGGACTCGATCGAAGGAAGAGGGCGGTAGTTGGCCTGGATCGGCGGCAGTGGGATGTCTGGTAACGTTGGTACTACATCTAAAAGTATCTGGAAGGAGAGGATGTACATGCAAATGAGGCAGGAATACATGAGAACGTTACCTCCCGTTAGCGTACAAACTGCACTGAACGGCAATTTGTTGGACAGCCCCAGTGACACTCGATGCTGATCAGCTCGCACCAGGGAACAGCCCTGGGAGGAGGCTGCACTTGTGCCACCTTACTGTGGCTCCACCTCTGCTGTCAATACAATGAAGCCAAAACTAGGGACCTGGATCTCTCAGCACCCTGCAGTAAGAGCCATTCATGTCTTTAACCTAAGAGGTTCAGCGCTAAAGGCCTCTGGCAAGGACCCAAGTCAGATAAACAATGCAAAGAACTAGAACAAACACAGAAGAAAAGGCTGGCAGAAACAGTCATTTACCTGTTCTGTCCCTTCTCCTCCTCCCCACCCCTGCAAAAAACTCTGCAGTGGTGGAGGAGAGGGAAACCTCACAAACTGGGGGAAACCCAAACCTTTGGTAGGAGGCACTTTTTAGGATGAATAGCAAAGCAGGATTTTAAAAGGCTGCTAAGATTACAAAAACACCTTTTGAAGAGCAAGGTGTTTCAAGTTGAGTAAAAAGATTAATTGGTCAAGGTTTTACACATCAGTCCCTTATCTACATACACCACACAGGCGCCAGGGTTGCGATAACACCTCTAAACCCGCTCATTTTTTCAGGCTTTCACAAAAGAAGGTCCGTCTTCTACAACAAGCTGCATTGTAACACCAGTTCTCCCATGGCTGTAGACCAACAGGTTTAGTTAATGGAAGCGCAGCACTGATCAGCATAAAAGGTCGATTTTAGAGAAGCATGAATACTCGAGAGACCTGGGCACCTGGCTAGCCAGCGGCGCGCTGCACGTCAGGCTGGGTTCTCGGCTGACTCGCATCTAAAGATACTCTGCCTGCCTGACAAACGCATCACATCCCACAGGCTTTCATGCAGTTATTGAGCTGAGAGGGTTTCCTTACTCTCCCCATTCTTGAATAAAGAGTGTTTTGCCTACTGCATTTCTTTCCCCTCCCCCCCTCCCTCTTCACCCACTTCTCCACTCTAACAGCGATGCCTGCAGCTTGGGGATATGAAACACATGGTGTATCCCAGCAGGAACCGGGAGTCACAGACCTAGATACTAGTGAGACACCACGAGCACAACCCGATGGAGAAAACCTCCAAGGGGAAAACTAACAAGCCCCAGACGGCAGGGGACCAAGGGGAGCAGATCCCACCTTCTTTGTTCACTTTCAGGTCTCGAAACCTTACCCGGTTTGGTTTAGGAGGCTCAGGTAACTTCTTCTCTGCCTTTTTCTCACTTGTTTGCATGTGGCTCAGACTCTTCTGACTCGAGCTTGAGCTGTTGCTACTGGCTTTGGATCCGTTCTGTTTGCTGTGCCCCCGGTCTTTCTCCCCGGCTGACACAGAGGGCTTGACCACTTTCTTTTTCTTTTTCTGGGGCTGGTCGTAGCTGAGGTACGACTCGAAGGACATTGTAGGTTGTTCAAATTCATCCTCCATTTCCCCCTCCCCAAAATTGGAGGAAAAGCCTGTCGATTTTTTGTCCACATCAGAGATTTTGCGCTTCCTCTCTGAAGATTTTAGGCTCCCAGCAATCCCCTTTTCTTTGATCCTATTTGAGGAGTCGCTCTCAGCTTTCCGTTTCTCCTGCTCTGGGTTACAGGTCTCCAATGTCACCTTGGGCTTTTCCAATTTGCTTTTTTCAGAGTCCCGATGTTTTTGCTTCTTAACGTGGTTGTCCAAAGACTCTTCCAAGTGCAACTTCTCCTTTCTGGAGGTGCCGCTTTCTCGGTTTTTCTCCTTCTTGCTGCCATCTGATATCCTGTGCTTCTCCTTGCTGGCCCCAGCCAAGGGGGCCTCTCGGAGCTGCTCTTTGAAAGAAGTCTTGTGTAACCTTTCCGGGCTGAAGGCAGAGGTCCTGTCCTCCCCTCTGCCATCAAGTCGCTGCTTCTTGTGTGAAGACTTGTGCTCTTTGCTTCGACTCATGTTCCCTTTGTCGTAGAACTCACCAGGGTTCCTCTCTTGGGCTCCCCCCAGCTTCTCCTGAAAGCTGTGGCCTTTACTTGGTTTCTGATGAAATAATGGTTCTTCCTGCTCCTCAGAGGCATAAGGGTCTGTGTACATGTCCTGAGGGCTCTCGCTTGGCTCAGATGACACAGCTTGTCCACAGTCCGAGTACTCCTGATCTGAAGAGAGCACTGGGGAAGATCTGCCCCAACCCTTCCCCTTGTTGCTGCTATTGCCATAAGTCTCATGGGCTCTCTCAGGCCTAGAATACCTTTTGGACTTCTTTTCCTTATGATTTGGGCTATAGGACTGGCTGCAAGATGGCTGGAAGGGTTCTGCATACTCCCGATCCGGTTCCTCATCCTCTCTGAGGGAGGGTTCTCGATGTCTTTTTCTTGAGCTGCTCTTCTCATAGTCACGGTCTTCGGAATCTAGATTATTCCTGAAGGGAAGAAAAACTAGGTTAAAACTTCCCAATATGAATGAAAAGAGCCACTCTCCATGGACTGTGTGGACATTAACCTCTCTTACATAAGACCAATGTTTTATTTTGTAGTTTTATGGCAAGAATACCACTGACTCTCTCAGTCACAGCAACCTTCAGGGATGTAGAAACTGCATTTCCACTCCAGAAGTTGATTAAGCGTTTTTATTAGGACTAGAAACTTCACGGTTCACTGGAAAACAGAGACAGATGCGTACAGAGACTTCAACGTGCCTACACACTCCTGGCTGTGTGGCACCTATGGGAAACACGTCCCGGTTCACCAGTTCAGCATGCAGGGATACCACAGCCATGGAAATTACTGTGGGTAACTGGGTCTATCACCGACATGTAAACAATCTCATTGCTGCGCCCAACACAGCTTTGTTACGGCAACACGCTTGCTAGCATTAACTTTCAGTTTCCATAGGATTTTGGCACAGAAAAGCCTTCTTTAAGCAAGCCACTTCCTTTACTCGGGCCTAGAACTTCCTCTCCACAGCATCACAAGATGGAAAGCTGGCAGACTGCATCTCTTGCTTTATTAAGGGCACTTTTCCGGCATCTACTGTTAATCTCTTCATCAAACGGCAAATTCTTGAGAATTAGCCTTACTTTCATGCAAAACCGCAGCAGTCAGCAGTCCAATGCTCTGCAGCTAACAGAGGCAGGAATTTTATGCCAAAACAAGGCAAAACCCCATGCGGAGTTCGCACACTTGTGTTCTGGGTTTTTCCAGAGCGTTTGCTCTGTTTCCTTGGTTAGAGAAGTTTATAACCTCCACTGCAACAGCAGAACAAAGCTTATCCAAGAAAATCGAACACTTACCTGTCTGTGTCCTGGGACACGGGCACTAGCTTCTTCCACCTGGCTACAAGGTTCTTCGCAAAGTCTCCTACGAGCTCGTGTTTCCGTAAACTGTTCACAGTCTTTCCAACACCTGTCTCCTTCATGAGAGAGACAAGACACGGATTCATCTTGGTGAAACACTCAGCATTCTCACCTCTGCTAAACTTCCTACGAAGTGACTAGTTAACCCACTACCCGTGGCTGCAAGGTAGAAATAAACTCCCCTGCTCTAACAGCAAAGGTATCACATGCGTTACATCGTGCTTTCAGCAGCCATTACAGCTCTGTAGATCAAAGACTGAACTCTGCCTTAGCCAAACATTAATTATTTGTATTAATAAACCAAGTTAATAAACTTGGTTTATTTGTATACAAATAAAACAAATTAAATAATTTGTATTTTAATTTTAATTTAAATAATTAAATAATAATTTGTATACAGAATAATTTGTATTAATAAACCAACTTACCAACACCATGACTGTTGGTAAGTTTTAAGACAGAAGTCATTAATATTTCCTAATTTCATGCTGATGCAGTTGTTGTTAGGAACTGCTCAGTCTCTCATATCCCAGTCAAGCGTTAAGCTTTCGGAAGAACTGAGGATGACAGACCTCCATGGCTTCACGCTTGCTCTAACACATTCCTTTCCCTGTGCCTGCAAAGTCTGGAACTACATCACAATCGCGCAGGTAGCCACAGCAACACACAGTATTCCAGGGAAAGCAGAACTTCAGTGGCAAACATCCTGTGACTTGACAGACACGATGAAAAGCGCGAGAGATTTCGCAGCTCTTACCACAAGAATGTCAACTGTGATGGGCAACTCAGACAGCCTCTTCAGACTTTTCAGCAGCTGTAGAGACAAGGAGGAAAGTGTTCAGACTTGTCACACCGAACCACACACTGTGATTAGACAGGAAGAAAACTCTGCACTGCCTGAGAGCCTGTTAGAAAGACCCAACCGGCAGACAGCTGCTGCCTTGCTCCAAATCAAACCCCCGAGAAGCTGCACACGAGGCCCAACTGTAAGGAAACTGTAGTCTCTTTGCCTACGAGGGGCCACCTGAGAATCTTAAAACTCACTCAAAAATTAAGGCTTCCTTCACAGGCTGCAACTAACCCTTGCTGAAAGCACCAGGAACAGGCACACACAGCTGTGGCACAGCAAGTGAAAGAAAGGACTCAGCTTTTCACTCTCAGAAGGTGGTGCTGAGTATCACATCCCTTGGCAAGAGGGAGAAAAAACATCGAGTCCCTTCTGAAGTTTTGCAAACTGCACATCGAGGGAAGAAAGATTTCTAGATGCTCTTAAAGATCTAAAAGGGAACCTGTATCTCCCCTGCAGACCTTCCACTGGGCCGGTGCTGCTGGCAGTCTCTCTTCTCTCAACTACAGTCTGTGCTAAAAAGGCAACCAATCCCTTCCACAACCCCTGCCTCTCACCCCACTCTTTTCCCTTCACCATACACCAGTGAAAAACGTCAGTTTTCTCCCCACACTCGCTGCCAAGCGAGGCCCTGCCAGCACACACAGCTGCTCCGCGGGCCAGGGAGGGAAAAGGAGCCCTCTCCAACCTGCATCCCAGCGAGGGGCTGCAGGTGAAGGGGACACACTTGTACCTCTGCCCCCTGGGTAGCTCAGGACACGGCTTCAGCGAGACATCTACTGACTTCTCGGTTACAGCACACACCCGACAGCACCGCTGCCCCTCACGTCACTCCCCGCAGCTCAGCTATAGCCACGGAGCAGCCTTGTCAGCGTTCCCATTATTACAGCCCCTATACAGCCCGGGCTTCGCGCAGCGCTGCTCTATGCCCTACAAAGGGCTGACTCTGATCCAGAAGATGATCTCTTTAAAGCACCGTGCTCATGCTCAACGTACTACTGTCGGCCTAAGCGATTCCAATCACCTCCACTTCCACTGTGCAAAGATAAAGACCTTTAGAGGTTGCCTTCCTTTTGAAGGAAATCAGTTCTTTTAACCTATTTGAAGAGTGCTGTTACTTTCAGAGAGGAAACACTCTGACACAGAGATAAGGGTTCATCTAGCTTAAGCAGAACCACAGGACAGTTTCACCAGAAACCACTGCCCCATCTCCATGATATTTAGGATTCATTGTCATGACCAAAGGTTTACATTCTCTGTTAGTTTTAGAAGAGTGAGACACTCATTCCAACAGTAAGTGTTTCAGCACACTTTGCAACCACAGGACAGTTTCACCAGAAACCACTGCCCCATCTCCATGATATTTAGGATTTCATTGTCATGACCAAAGGTTTACGTTCTCTGTTAGTTTTAGAAGAGTGAGACACTCATTCCAACAGTAAGTGTTTCAGCACACTTTGCTGGGTGGGATGCTGAGTGTGATGCAATGGTTCTAGCTGGGCTGTAACCACAGCTAACCGCGTTTTCAAGCCCTCCGTCCCTGCAACTCTGGGCTCATGGGAATGCAGTCTCCCCTGGGATTCACAGAATCTAGGGCCAGTAACATGCTCCACCACCCACCTCAACGGAAGGGGAGAAAACACACATAAAGAAAGCCAGTTGAGCTAAAATTCCCACTACCCTTCCAGCTTCCAGAACCACTGTTACTTTGCCAGCACCACTGCTTGACAAGGTCACTGGCCATCGAACCCACCAAACCAGAGGCAGCAGAGGTAGAGACACAGCCCATCTCCACTGCCTGCCACAGCTCACAGGTCAGGATCCCGCCAAGAAGGCCAAGATCCTTCCGGGATCGGTAAGGCAGGTGCTTGGACTGGTGTGCGCCTGTATGGAAGGGGGCAGGAAGGGACGGGAAGGAGGATGGATTTTGAACTAGGTAGAAAAAGAGTGAAAACAGGAAAATATTCAAACAATAGTGTCTCTGTAAGCCAATTACCTTCCTAGAGAGATTGTTACAGAGCTTACAAAATCCTACCACAAGAGTAAGGACCAAGGGAAAAGTCATTAGGGTATCCTTAAAGCCTCCCAGTTATTTTCCGCTACACCCCACTGTAGCATCTTCCACAGCTCCTATTGCTCTTTGGTTATTTGTTGCCTTCGGGGCTGAATTCCAAGAAGAAAAGCGTTGTCCTCAACAGGGCTCATCTCTGGATTTTGCACAGCCAGCAGAAGTGTGGTTTGAGATCAGGGGAACCACACCTTTGATCCAGAACACGTCTCACGGGGAACGGGCTTATTCCAACACCCACTGCAGTCAGCGGTTGGAAACCCCCACGCAGCTTAAAAAAGGCAAGAGCTGGCTTTGAGAGGCCACCATACGCTCCCCTTTGCCTAAAGTGTCATTTCATCAAACTTTTACACTTGCACGTTCACTAGAAATAGGAACGCCGTTTGAGTTCAGCAGACTTCCCAGCCAAGGAATAACAATCTCAAAGCGACACCAACAGGTTACGAAGCGTTTTTGTTACCTGCATCATCAGTAACGCACTTATCTGACTATCTGAGGTGTCAAAACCTGTGTTTATCAACACTGTCCAAGTGACAGGCAGCCTGGCAACTCCTGCGCAGGGATATATTTGGGAGCTGTGAGCGTACAGCACAGCAAAACCTCGCTTTGCTTGCGACTCCTGCGGAGCACAGGTCCACGGGCAGGAGACACACCAAGTGAGACAACTACGATGCAGTGAGGCTTAAGAACTTGTGCTAATCAGTATTTCCTATGGAAACAAGCTGATGCAGTACCCCCCACCGTCTTCAGCCGAAATCAGCCAAGCAGACTCAAACCTGGCAGCGCAACTCAGAAATAACAGAGATCCGACAAGTCCTACAAGAAAGAGGCAGCCAGGTAGAGGACAGAAAACACAAGGCTTGTATCTTGCTAGGCACCAGATGAAATACATATGAGAGAGCCCTTCTGAAACACCCAGCACAGGGCAGGGTTTGAGTCAATCAGCCACAAGACACAAACCATAAGAACTACACTTAGTTCCAGCTCCACTAAGGTTTTGTTTAACAGAAGGGGTCTACTTTCTGCAAGAAGTCAGCCCGGGCCGTTACAATGCTAACAACACACGTTAATATCGACATACTACAGCACAGCACAGCCTCTTCTCTGTGAGGATGCTCTCCTGTGTGTCTCCCCTTACACTCTTT